AATTATATAATATTATCTTATTTCCAATTGAGACATTCCAAATAGTACAAGCTTATGTACAAGCTTGTGCGTTGCTACACGTTACGCTATGCGTTATGCATTATGCCTTATGCATTACGCAAAAGTCTGTGCTGCGGCCTATACGGATTCAATTCATCCAAGGCTGGAGTCCCATGGGGCGTATTTAGGGTTGCCGCACACGAAATTCCATAACCGCGGATCTACAATAGGTGTTTTAAGCCTTAAGCCGTAAGGAATTGATCAATTACAGTCGAATCCGAGAAGAATAAGCGACTGTGATTCGCTCATTTCTTATGGCTTAAGGCTTAAAACCTTATTGTAAACCTATCATGAAATATGTCGGAATAGATTCCGATCGGAATTATTCCATTTTCCCTAGAAAACACAATAGAAATCTAGGGAATAATTGAATACTTCCGATCGAAATCGATTCCGACTTGTTCTATGATAGGTGCCCTGGGGTAATACTATGCGTAAAGTGTAAACTTAAGGGTGGAGTCCCATGAAGCGTATTTGCCGCGTATCGCGTAACCGCGTAACCAATCAATAATCAGTAAAACGCGAAATCACAATAGTGGATCGCTTCTGATTGGTTACGCGATACGCGTTACGCGGAAAATCTGTGCCATGGGACGGCACCCTAAGCCGATGAGTCATCAGGATGCTGCTTTAGATGACGTTCGCCTGTCTTTTTACATCATGGATAAATCGAACTATCGGATATCATATCTGGATATCGAGAAAGCGCTGTTTTTAGCTATATTAACGGGAGTGGGAGAAATATCTAGATATGCATATCTCCGTGAAATCGCAGCTTAAGGGGATCGATTCTGTATCTTCAAACAAGGGGGTCGATTCTGTATCTACAAACAAGGTGAAAATTACAAAAGTGAGCAAATTTACTAGGCGTTGACCAATGAAATTATAAGTATTCTAGTAAATTCGCTCACAAAAGTAATTTTCACCTCATTTCAAGATACAGAATCGATCCCAAGGTGAAAATTACAAAAGTGAGCAAATTTACTAGGCGTTGACCAATGAAATTATCAGTAGTCTAGTAAATTCGCTCACTTTTGTAATTTTCCCAAGATCGATCCCAAGATCTGACTATAGGGGTTTGTTCGCGTCGCGTGCTCCAACATGCTCCTGCCATAGTTCCTACTCAATTCTAATGAGCGCATTGGAGTGAGGAACAATGGTAGAAACATATTGAAGCATGTTTGGGTATGCGACGCGAACAAACCTTATGAATACCGGCCATAGTGCGGTATCGTATATACGTGGCACGATAAAGTAACTGGGTGCATCCAGAAGCACGACCGCTCACTGAGTGCTCATTGAGCTCTTGTATCTGTTTGGTCTATATTTTTAGATCTAACGGAATATGCCAATAAGATAAAAAAGCTCACTGAGCGCTTAGTGAACGGTTGTGCTTCTGGATGTACCCACTGAACTAGAAATATGTTCCGTATTACGTATGAAATGCATGGACTGCATTATTAGAGCATGTTTTAGGCCAATATAAAGGCCATTCTACATTATATCATATCATAGACGTCGCAAGTACAGTATAATCATATCCAGTAGCAACACTGAACGTCGGCATCTTTGATGTAGGTGTTCTTAGGTCATACGATTCACCACCATATATTGGCTGCGTTCGGGAACGTCGCTCAGATGCCTCCGATGCCTCGGATTCATCATCTGTCCTTGTTTAATATTAGATGTTAAACAAGGACAGATAATGAATCCGAGGCATCGGAGGCATCCGAGCGACGTTTCCGAACGTAGCCATTGTGAATTTGAAAAGCACATTGTAAAACTAAAATATTCCAGACGAGTTTTAGGAAATTTTATTATCGTTCTCAATTGTTTTCTATCAACTTTTTTTGCCAGGGTTCTGTCCTGTGTTCAGATGAAAAAGTGAACAAGAGAATAGAATGATTAAGGATAATCGATTTGCAAAACCAAACGCAGATTATGTTTTATATTTATATTAAGTGCTATTAAGAATTAAACGAAGTTAATACACGGTTACTTTATCGCATACCGTATTATGCTACATCTAATTGTATCCTAATTTCCTTATAGTCGTATACTTACCAGATCGGGACCGACGAAGCCAACTCAATTATACACGTGCGAGGCAGTGAAGACTATTGAAGACAGTACAAAAAATGGTAGAACATTCTCTTCTGTATCCTACTGTGGCGAGTCACGGAAAGGTAGGGATGGGCGATTTTTATCGATTAATCGAAAACATCAATAGTTTTTTAGATTTGTCGATAATTTTCACTGTTTATTTTTCCGTTCGATTAATCGAAGTTCGATTTTTTTCCCTCAACATTGGCTGCGTTCAGCAGAACGCAATAGTTTTGCAACCGTTTTATGATTCTCTGCTGAGATAGGACTATTTCTCTTGATCTAAGAGCACAACTCAATCAGCGCGAAGAAAACTTCCAACAGTTGCAAAATAAACTCTGCTGAACGCAACCATTGATAAACTGCCACTCACCCCAGTCAGAAATAATAGGACTTCGAATCAATGTCGTACAACGACATTGAAATAAAGTCAAATTTTAGACAACTTTAGGTTTTCAACATCGAAATGAGGTGATCCCGATTGACCACGTCTCGATTGGACACCACCAATCACAGCGACCGGTGCTTAGGAGCTTTGTAGTCTCAAGCGCTGTGAGTGGCTCGTGTCCAATTGAGCCGTGTCCAACTGGGTGCCACCCGTTATCAATCGGGATCACCCCACTCGACCCGACTCCGAGTCAATAGTCTGTTCTGTTTAGCTGCAAAAGAAGAGCTAAATTGTGTAAGAAATGCAGCTAAAAAGAACAGACTGTTGACTCAGAGAGTCGGGTCGAATCAGTAAATCGAATACGCTATGTATCAAGAGTAAAGCGGGGAGCACAGACTCCGGATCTACAATAGGGTTTTAAGCCTTAAGTCGTACGAAATTGACCAATTACAGTCGAATCCGAGAAGAATAAGCTACTGTGATTCGCCCATTTCTTGTGGCTTAAGGCTTAAAACCCTATTGTAGATCCGGGGTAACGCTTCACCTAATAAAGCATGGTTTCATGGGGCCAATTTATCAAGAGAAGAAATTGTAATGATTAACCGCTTGAGATCAAATCATATAAACGTCAATGAAAGTCTCTATAGAGTCAACATGGTGGAGTCTCCCGCATGCCCCTGCGGTGATTGATCAAATCATATAAACGTCAATGAAAGTCTCCATAGAGTCAACATGGTGGAGTCTCCCGCATGCCCCTGCGGTGACCCTCGACAATCAATCGGTCACCTTATATTTCATTGCGAAATCTTCAATTCCAACTCATCTCCCATTAGAAATTACATAATGCAGAAATTTCCTAATCCCTTCCCGAACCTCCACCCGGCCCTCCGCTCCCCTTCTCCTAAACTATGTCGTCTGCTCTTGGCATGCATGAAGGCCAACGAGCTTTTCTTTCAACTACTCTATATTTTTTTCCCCCTTCCCTTCTCCTTTGGCGCGCGACTCACCGTTGGGTGGTGACGGTGACAGGCGTCTGGCGATGGGGAGGGGTATTGAGATTCGAGATTGCGCGTCATTACATCAAGTCGGCAACCCTTCAACGTTTAACAACCAGATATGCAGACCTCAATAATGGCCTAGGTTTCAGCCTGGTTGGCTGCCTGGCCAAATACTAGGAAGAAGAAGAAGAAGAAGCTTAACCTCATTTGTAGGTTGTGTATCGAAAGTTTATTTTATAGGTTATATTATTCAAAATATTATCTAAACAAATTATGAAAAAAACGTTATGGTGTGTATAATAAATATTTATTTTCAAGTTATTTTTTGGGTTATTAAATTATTCTGCATATATATGAATGCAGAACTGATAAATAGCAAAATTAATTAATAAGAAGTGTCAAGAGAGAGTAGTCAATAATTTATTTATAATTTTTATTTATAAATAGAATAAAAAAATCGACTTTTTCAGTAAAGCTGATAAAGTGGAACGATTGTGTTGAAGCCATTTTTTCCTTAATACATTTAAACGTCGAAAATTATGTCTTTAAGTGACAAAACGAATGTTACGACTATAGAGAGAGACGACAGGAAAAGCATACGAAAGCAGAAACGTGCTCATCACAGGTTGCTCCGAGACATGAACATTAAATGTACCGAGCAGCCTACGCAGGTAAATGTGTGCTCATTCTAGACTAGAATGTGAAATTTGTTTTAATCACTTTTAAGTTTGATATTTTTTATAGCACCTGATGATATGCAATGGTGGTCTAGTTACTGGTATCAAGAGAGAGACATTGCAGTGTGTATTAGACCCTCTGATCTCCAAGTATACTTTGATAATGCCAACAAGCAAGTCATACTGCTTCGTAACGTGCAGCTCAAAGGAGGATGCAACATGTGTATACAACTATATTAATGGACGCATTAAGCTTCCGGGTCAGAATGGCCCATTATATGTATGCTATACCGAAACAGGTATATTGTTATAATAGAACTACTTAATTCCAATTATAATTTAAAATTCTTTATCTAACAATGTAATATTCTCTTTTTAGTTTCTGCCACAGATTATGTTGTGTCCGATCCTGCATTTCCCCCTGGTCTTACTTTAATGGAGAATTTCATAACAGAAGAGCAAGAGAAAATTTTGTTAGGAACGCTCAATTGGGACAAATGTAAAAATGTGATAGATTTGCAGTCAATTAATTGGGATGAATATGGTAAAATAGATTTGCAATATATAATTCAATAATGTGATTAAGAAGATAGTTTAAAAGAGAGTGTTTTCTCGTTTTAGCTAGTACTTTAGCAACTGTCTGGTCGCAACTGAAATACAGAGATGTAAAACATTTTGGGTACGAATTCGAATATGACACAAACCTAGTAAATCCTGACAAACCTATCGAGCCAATTCCCCAAGAATACAAATTTTTGCAAACTTTATTTGACAAGCATGGTCATAAGTATACTTATGATCAGTTGACTATCAACAGGTATCTACCTGGGCAAGGTAATCTTGATATTCATACAATTTCGTAAAATTGTGCATATTTAAAAAAAATTGTTTAAAGTAAAGATTTTTTGATTAAACATTTTTTAATTTCTTATTATATTAATTACATTAATATTGATATTATATGATTTATGTAAATTGTATAAATTTAATATATTTTAATCGTAGAATTAAATACAATTGAGTTAATAATTTGGATCGTTTAACTTAAATCATATATTATATTGTAATATATAATCTTATTCAGGTATACCACCGCACATTGACACACATAGCGTCTTCGAAGACACTATATTATCTCTGTCACTAGGATCCACATGGATCATGAACTTCAAGAAGGAAGATAAAAAAATCGATGTTCTCCTACCAGCCAGATCTTTATTAATTATGACAGGAGAAGCGAGATATGCATGGACACATGGCATTTGTCCTCGTTACAGTGATGTTATCAAGACAGAAAATGGACCTACATCGCAGGAACGTGATATCAGAGTATCTTTCACCTTCAGAAAAGTACGACGTGGTGAATGCTACTGTGATTTCAAAAACTACTGTGATACTGCAAAACGTGAAACTTTCATTGACGACAAGGCAGCGTCGGGATTGGAAAGTTCATATGTACATAAGGTGTGTAGATTCGAATGCTATGTGAATGTTTTGTTTCTTATGATTACTGAAATTGTGCTCTTACAGGTTTATGAGGAAATATGTAATCACTTTAGCGAGACGCGACATAAACAGTGGCCCAACGTAACAAAATTCCTTGAAAGTTTAGAAGAAGGCACATTGCTTTTGGATGTGGGTTGCGGGAATGGCAAATATCTTTGTGGAGATCAGAATGTATATAAGGTGTACTTTCTTATTATTTCATTAATAGTAGCTTAATTAATAGGAATCAATTAAAATTCAAACAAGTATCAATAATAAAAAAGTTGTTAAGAATTGGCGTGATAAATGGAGTGATAAACGGAGTGTGTGTAGTTACATTTATACAATTACTTTAATTAAACTACAATTGTGTTCACAAACCATACGTTTCGGGTCTAATTCGATCCATTTTCCATAGTATTATTATTAATATACAAAATTAACGATAGTTCCACATCTTGATAAAAAATGAGCAAATGTTTAGATTTAATGAAGTTGGATGATGTCTCGCTTTTTTTACCACAGCTGAATACAAGTTTTTGTTTTCTTAAGATACGTAACTATCATTAATTTTGTATATTAATCATTGATATTGCTGAGGATGGCTCGAATTGGAATCGAAACAGTTTGCGAATCGAATGTAGTCTGATTATGATACATATTAAAGTAATTGTATAAATGTAATTGCGCTCTGTTTACCGCGCCGACCTCTAGCTCTTTTTATTGATGTTTGTTAAGACAGAAGTTTTTTGTTATATTATTATTTCAATTGTTGATATTTCATTAATAGGAATATATAATTAGGTATTAAAAAAGTTGAATATGCTGACATTTAGTTTGGTTTATATTATATCTTTTCAAGCAGAGGCGTTACTAATCTCGAGAATTATCTTAGATGGGATGTGATCATAGCTCTGGATTGATGGGTATATGTCGCAAACGAAACTTCGAGGTTCTTCAGTGTAACTGCCTATATTTACCGTATAAAGATGGTTCCGTGGATGCGATAATCAGTATTGCAGTTATTCATCATTTATCCACTGAGGAACGGAGACTACGAGCTATCTCCGAGATAGTTCGAGTGCTGAGACTAAAAGGGAGATGTTTGATTTATGTGTGGGCAATGGAGCAACGCAGGAATTCCCAGGATTCGCTCTATTTAAAGTCTGGCAAAAAAAGCAAGGAATCTGAGAGGATCAATCAGAGCAGAATCAATCATGAGAGAATCTCCGAGTGTAATTTAATGTTACCGATTCACGAAAATAGGATGGTCTTCCCTCAGAGCGACATGCTGGTTCCCTGGACCAAGAAGAGCGGTGAACATTTTCTGAGATATTATCATGTATTTCGTGATGGCGAGCTCGCGAGATTGTGCACAAAAATACCATCGGTCTCCATTAAGGAGGTGTACTATGATCAAGGCAATTGGTGTGTGATTTTGGAGAAATGTACAGAGATTATAGAATAAAAATTAGATTGAGATAATTAATCTCCCAAAATTATATATTTTTAAGTCTAGTCGCTATCTATTAAGTCTATTAAGTCTATTTCTTTTTTTTCCGAAGATGGTGATTTGACGAGAATTTCATCGTCCGAATCAGAATTAAATATATTAAAAATTTCTTCTTTCGTAATTGAATTCTGCAAGAACATTACAAAATTATTGCAATTATCAATTTGAACAAAATTGAAAAAATTACTATGATACTATAATAAATACATTCTTTTTCTGTACTTACAATGGGAATGGATATTAATTCAGCAGATCCTTCTTCATATTTTATAATACGACTCTTTTCCTCATTTTCCACTTCCATAAAATCATCTGTAAAATTGTATATATACATATATAATTATATTTCGTATATCAAATAAAATAAAATTAATCTTTAATTATTAATTTTAATTCAATGTGTGTAATGAAAGCTGTTACTAATTCTAATTCAAGATGATTATAAAAAATTATTAAAATTTACTTCAATTTATAATAAAATAAAATTAATCTGATTTAAACAAATTTAATCTTAACACACATGCACATATAAAAAAATAAGTTGGATGAAATATATACCTTCGACTATAGCTGTTGCGTCCCATTTGTGTAATTTAATGTTAATGTGATCGCCAATCGTTGTCGTTAACTTATTCACTTGTATGCTTTCTTTAAATCTAGATATATTACTGTCATCTTTTTTATATCTATAATAAAATATTTTTTTAATAATCTTAATTTTCTTCCATATTGTTTAAGATAATCAGAGAATTTCTTCTCTGATTAATATTTCAAATTAAATTGTATGTGAATAAAAAAAGTTAATGTCTGTCATGAATATTTAGATTATTTATTATATTTTATATTCGTAAAAATTATTTTAAAATTAAATTAACATACAATATAATTAAAATATTACTTTCAAAACAACCTAAATTCATACCTTGACTGCACATCCTTGATTACTGCTTCCTTGATCTGCTGCACCAATTTTGTTGCATAATTAGCTGCGTCATTAGAAACAGCGGATATGACGTCTTTGACCGTCATAGTTTTTGTTAAATAATCGAAATGCAAGCTACAAAGTTCTCTGTAAGAGTTCACGCCAAGACTAAGTTCAGCGACGCCAACTTTTTCTTCTACATAAGTGGGATCCATTATAGTGTTGCCACTGTGAAATTCATAGATTTTACATTATTTGCGCGTATAATTTAGAAATTGTTCAATTTTATTGATAGATTTTTCAAGTAAGAAGGAATTTTTTCTTATTTAAAATTCAACAAATAATTTCTGTTCCATCAACCAACCTCTTAAAAGTTATAAAAGATATGCAGACCGGGTAGTGGAACAATGTCAATGGTAGAAAATCTTTCTCGGAAGCCGGATGTATGATAATTTCCTCTCCGGTAGACGTGACGTCTGGCCTATGAAAATGCATAAGAGCAGCGAGTGTTGCTATTGAAGCACAATCCACAAGATTCCCATCATGATTTATGATATTAACGTCAATTCTCAAATTCCATACCTGAATAAAAAACCATGTAAGTCATAATATAACAAATGTTACATATAATATTTAACAGGTGCTTTCCAGAAGAATACACAAATGACACAATGTAACACAGCAAAACATTTAATTTCTGTTTAACATTGGCAAACAACAAAGATATAATAATTCACTGTTACATTACGGTTATATTGTGTTATCTGTATCTTTTGTTGATTAGTACCCAATATCAAGCATTTTAGTAACCTTCTTGTCTGCTACTATACAGAGAGATTCTAAATCCACACATTTTGAATCTTTAAAACATTTCTCCAGCTGCCTACTGATTAGTATAGCTGCTTCAGACTGTCTACCTCCTTCAAAATGTTGTGCTGCTAAAGGAGCAAGCTCAACATTTATGCGTATCATGCCTTCATTAGGACGAGATGTTTTTGGCTGTTGTATATCACATGATACTTGTGCTATGGCTCTGCAAAAAGAGATTTCTTTTTTCAATATTTTATATATTTATTAAAAATAATTTGCACATATTATTAACTGAAATTTACTTTGTATGTCCAAGAGACACCATACAACATCCCCAATTGGAGCTAAAGTAGATTTTTACTGAACGTGGTTCTAATAATTTTCGGCCGTCTAATCTCTGAAATATGATAGATTTATTATAAAGTTTTATTATTGCATATGCATGACACAAAATGTTTGTTTCAAAATTTATATCCATAATTATAAAATAATAAATAATACATTTTTTAAATATAATTATGGATAAATGATACATTAATTTGATGATTGATTAATGATACTTTAAATGATACATTAATTATAAATTATAACAATATGCATACACTATACTTTTAAAAGATATAAGGATTACTTATTGTTTAATAAATTTACAGGAAAAGTACTTACCGTTTCCTCCTCTATACATTTGTTTATAAAATTTCGTTCACAGTTTGAGAGAGGAATTTCCTTCATCTTTTAAAAATATTATCAAGGAAAGAGAGAGATATCAAAAATTATAGTAATCTGCACCTTGAAATTTGTTTATGGTTCATAAATAAATTATAACCTATAAACAATTCGTACACGTCGTTGGAGTAAAATACACTTTGATTACAAAGTTACCAGATTGACGATAACCAATCACAACGATTGATGTTTGGAATTTTTTTAGAAATTCTAGATACTCCCATGTGATTGTTTGACTTCCGGTTCCATTTCTATCGAGTTCCGGAAGTGTCCCGGTGGATGTCGCGGGACTTTGCGGGACGCAATCTTTATCCGGTACTGCACTCGTCCGGTAACATGGATTGTTTTTACGTCCAAAAATAAACACGGCTGCATTCTCGTTGACTTTCCCACGCTTGCCTGTATTTGAGAGACGAGGTAGGCATATGATTGAATGCGTGTTGCGCACAAAGAGACGAAGTGAACGGTCAACGGTAACTTTGAGGTTCGAGGAAAAGCTTTCACGGAGAGGAGAGTGTTTTGAAGTCGCTTGAAGTCAACTGTCAAAGCTTCTAAGAAAATACGTTCTACATAGGATCCATAAAAAATTGTGATCCTGAATATTAGGTCGGAAGTTCATCTGGGGGGCAATAAAGAAGAATAAGAGCACGCCTACGCGGAAGATGGTTGTCGTGAGGATCGTAAGAAAGTGAGCGACTCGATCAGCACATCATCAAGTTTATTGTGTAGGTACTGTGACCTTCGGGTTAGATAATCATTGGGCACAGAAGTAGAAGAGGAAAGTGATGACTTCAATACTCGGAGACCTCATATAAGTAGAAAAGAAGACAAAGAGCGACGTTGCAGTCAGGACGAAAAAGACGACTCTAATTCCTTTGATCTTCTGCACGAAAAACCTATTTTCGGCTAGGACACGACACTGCGGAAAGAGAGAAACTTGTCGTGAATCTTCCTTGCGCGAGATGACTGGCAATTCTTTCCCGAGGCAGTCACCAGGGTGATCCAGTCGCTAATATTGTGCCACAAACACGAGAGTTCTCGAAAGAACGAATCTGACGAATCTTGTTTAGGATAGATAAATAGACAGGTAGGTGAATGATTGCGATCTCGCATGGAGATTAGGTGGTCGCTCTTGGGGTTAGGAATGACCGCAGCGCGTGGCGGAGCTTTATCGAAGAGCAGCGCCTCGTAGTTCGCCAAGTCTCTGATCACTTTTGTAACTGCTTTTCGTCGCACCGCGACGTCTAGAATGATGGACGCAGGATTGTATACATTCAAACCATTTGTATTTACCAAGCCCGTGGTGAACGGGACGGAGCAGCCAAAGGCCCGAAGCGGCCACCGGATTGCTTGCGATCATCGGAACCTATACTCATACGGCGGCTTTAATCCATGTGTATCCGATACCGACCCTGACATGCGTGATGATCAGATGTGGAGTGCTAGCAAACCACTGTTCAAGGAACTATGGCGTTTCAACTTTGTCAGCAAGCGCTGGTTGCGGCTACCTGGTCAGGAAAATATGCCAAATGAACTGGCATCGAATGCAGTGATACTGTGTGGCAATACACTGATGGTGTATGGTGGCACCGGTGTGCCGTTTGGCGAGAATTGCAGCAATCAGCTGTACGTATGTAACGTGGACGATGGCGCCATCAACGCTGTGCCAGCCATAGGCGAGCTACCTGAACCTCAGTATGGGCAGGTATAATCATGTTTATCCGTATCATTTGAATTTCTATCTTCTGAGGGACACGGTACCAAGATTTGTTTATCTAGTCGTGTATCCTGTAATTTGTAATTTTTGTTTCTATTATATTGGAATAATATTGTTTCTATTAAAAATTATCATGCATAAGATAGAAAACTTGAGAACAGAGCTTGAATTGTTTGCTTGATGGTTTAACTATTGATTGGCAAACCATTAATTTTGTTCATTAAGAGATAACTGCTCTGCCATGGAACTAACCAATATTCTAACAAGAAATTAAAGTAATGAAAATGAAAAAAAAAAAAGATTTATCAAAGACTAAATATGAATCTCGGGTTTTATGATAAAAATCGCAAGACTCTCTGATCTACATGTCACTGTTTTGGTCTATGCTATTATTTTTTTTATTACTTGTATGCAACAAACTTTTACTTGTATAATAGTAAGATTATTTATTTTCTATGGATAGGCACTAGTATGCCACGGTTCCTATCTCTATACAGTCGGTGGTACTACTGGTTATGAATATACCTGCGACATTCACCGCTTCGATCTGAGAAGAGGCATCTGGGAGGTAGTATATATTTGCACAGGCAAGGATGAATCAGAGCCATATGGCAGATACAGGCACGAACTTGCTTTTGACGGCAAGATGATCTATGTTTTGGGTGGTGGTACTTCGAATGAATCCTATGGTTTCTTGGTGAGTGAATAAACACATAAAGCTTGTATATAAAGGCAGTTGTACTACTTTGTACTTAAAAAGTATAAAGTAGTATAAGGTGGTACTTCAACTGAATCCTATGGTTTCTTGGTGAGTAAATAAACGCGTAAAGCTTGTATAAAGGTAGTTGTACTACTTTGTACTTAAAGTACAAAGTATAAAATAGTACAACTGCCTTTATATACATCATGGTAAAAATGTAAAATTTAGTAACTGCATATAAACTAGTTAATGTATGCATTTATGTAAGGAATTTTAGCAAAAGTATCGACTAAGTATAAAAATGTCTATTATTCCTAATAAATGTATTGATTTATTAGATAAGCATTTGCTACAATACATTAATAAATGCATAATATTGTGAGTGTAAAAGTATACATTTTAATACATGTAATTTGACTAGTAAGTGTATATGCAGTTTTAGATTTTATGCTTTTATCGTGACATATATATTAATATAATATGTGTTGTGAAGGTGCATACTAAATACATATATAATTATTAATATATTGAATTTTCTATAAAAGTAGATATAAAAAAATATACAATAATTTTAATTTTCTCGTGTAATGTTTTGAATAAATTTTTTCAGGAAATACCGGCATTTGATTTGAAGACTAACAGTTGGAAGATTTTGAACACGCATGGCGAAACTGAAGAGACTATGGTACCGGCGCCACGACGTTGTCATGGTTCTGTACAGTACACAGACGAGATGAACGGCATTACTTCGGTCGTCATATCGGGCGGTTACAATGGTGACCGAGTATTTAATGACGTTTGGCGACTTAATCTTAGCACATTGCGATGGACACGCTTGCGAGAATGCATCCTACCATGTCCAGTGTATTTCCATTCGGCCGCGCTGACTCCAGAAGGTCGCATGTACATATTCGGCGGTATAGTTAAAATGAACAACAAGGTTATTATCGTATTTTAAATAACGTTCTACAAATGTTTTTTATTTAATGCACTTTCTTTTACTTGTAATCACGATTATTTGAATATTTTCATCATTACAGGTGAAAAGAACAAACGCGGTTTACTCTGCTTGGCTAACAATTCCTAAATTGTCCGAGATCTGCTGGCAGGCGTTGAATTTTTATTGGGAGGATTTGAAAGACGCTTCACCGGACAAGTTGCTTAGCATGGGGATACCATTAAATTTCGTACAAAGACTTGAATTCTGCGACTGGTGAACGATTAGTTTCCTCGATATCTCTAAACTCTCGAATCAGATGTTTTTTACGCTATACGCACTTTAAAATGTTCGGCCACGCTTCGATCATTCGATATTTAGATTTATATAGAGGTGGTTCAACTTTTGAAATTTTTTATTTTTTCGAGAAATGATGAAGTGTCGAATTCTCGTATCTCTTGTTGCAATAGAGGAGTTCTTCCTGTTATAGAACGATTCGAGACGCACTGATTACAAAATAATGGCAGCAAACATGGGCTGTTTTCCAACAACGTATACAGGTGACATAGTGTAACACTGCCTTACACAAAGTATTCCAACTATAACACATTGCTCGACACAGTAAAAAGCTAACTACGAGCGTGTAAAATATGTCAATGTTACTAATTTTTCAAAAAGTCATTTGGTAGCCGTACTTACTTTGCAATGAAACCTTCGCCGAATAAAAATCGCCAATTCTGAAAAAATTATAACTTAAGTCTAAATAAAAATCATAAATCTATTGATACGCTAAATATAATTGTAAAAATAGAATGGAAGACTCCAATGCATTCTGGTATTACACTATGAAACTAAACTTGTTCCAACAGGTACTTTACGCAGTGGAAATGTTTCTGTGTCCCAGCTGGAAAACAGCCATGGAGAATTGGATGTGCATGCTCGATTAGAGTTGTCAAGTTGTTTTACTAAAAAAGAGATTAAGCTTTTAAAAATTTTAAAGCGTAAGAGCTGCGTTTATAAACTCAGATTGTTGACAAGTTTTCCAAATCTCAAGTATATGAATGATGTGCAGAGAGAGAGGGGGGGGAGGGAGGGGGGGGGTCAAGAATGGCCAAGAAAAGGTGGGCAATCCTCACGAGTAGTGATTGCAACATTAGTTCAAAGACTTCTTCTTAACTGACCAATGGATTTCTGATTCTCAAATTAGGATCGCAGTACCATAGTTTCATTGAATCTCATTGAAGTATCAAAGACTTCTATTCTACACACATAACATTCTCGCCAAATTAATAAAAATGTCAGCATGTAAAGGAGAAATATTTGGAAAAACGATATATATTAGAATTAAAAGTAACACATATAATTTTATCGCCATTATTAAAATTCCTGACGGAAGTTGAGCCATCCTTATAATTTTTGATGGAACTTTTTTATTACTTTATTATAGTAATGTAAATGATCAAGTAATTTCACATTGTATATTACTATTTATTATATTTGTGACAGCTGTAACTTAATAGCACAAATTATTGCCAAAATACCAGATCTTTCTTCTTTCTTACATTTGCGATCCAATCTGACAATTAACTTTAAATTACTGAACATGTATGGTATTTTCCTAATATTAACAGCAATTGACGCATCTCTGTCTAAAACATTGTACAAATATAATAAAAATAGTTAAAAAGAATAATATATAAAAAGTTATATAAATTTAAGGATATGATTCATTATTCACATATTTAATGTTATGTACAGTATATTTATTCTGCTTTTATTCTAATGATATATAGTATTATATGTATTTATATCTGTTTCTTTAAGGATATTAGAATTAGAGATCATTGACGATTCACTGCGCGGCGATGGGATTTTTCTGAATATTTAAATATGACAAGTGCAAATAATATTGAAGAATGTATGGGTCTGTTCTTTTTAGTTTGAACTTCTTGCATGGTTTACATTTCCTCTTTTTCTCTAATGAGTTGGAAAGAAGAAAAAAAAGAGATAGTGCAGCAAGTTCAGTTAAAAAAAAATAGACCTATAGAGTATTACTAATTGTGTGTTTTGTCTCAAAAAGGTTGTTAAACGTATATTTGTCCGCAGTGCCTATTAATTACAGCGATGCTCGTTAAACTGCTTGTTCGATATAAATCAAAAATTTCAAGGATGCCTCTTGATCATAGTATTAATAATTTTCATCATTCTTTTCCTTCGTGCGTATATTTTACGTTAAAAAGAAGCATATTTTGAGCACAAAATTCCAATATAAATATTTTATACTTCATGTCATATGTATTTATAATAATTTAATCCTTATTCGTCTTATTTTTTTTCATGAATATCCGGGATATTAGTTTCATATATTTTTAACTCTTTTTTTCTATAAATAGGTGTCTATGCATTTTTTTGTATCACTTTTCTTTTTAAGTCTTTTTGGATATATATGATTGAATATATGTGTTGTCTATTAAGATGCCCCCGATGTAACTTCAGATTACTTGAATATAGAATTAAATTTCATGATTCTCTAATCATTCTGAGCAGTGTACCATGCATCGTAATTATGCAATAGATCCGATCCTCAGCGCTGTTTACTTAAGGTATTAGCTGTACATTAACTAATATCTGTTAATAGAAAAAAAGATTGTAAATACAAAAATGGAGGAGAGAGGAATACGGAAGAATCGATTCTACTGATTTAAACAATTTTGTTTCACAAATCAATATTATAATGAAAATTATAAAAAAAGTATCGAGATTTGAACAAATCGCATAAGTAACAACGATCAAATTAAAGACGAAAAAAAGATAATTCGAGACTCTCCAGTGTCTGTATCTATTCTTTAAGTTTCCAAATTACTATGATATTTGATCAGAATAAAAACCTTTTTTTTAAAACAAAATCGATGTAACTTTATTTTCGTTAATTGTATTCTATTATTATCCCGTTATTTAAGAAGTAACGTCATTCTAGAGCTCGAAAAAAAGACGTGTTTTTGATATTTTTTTACAGAGATACAATAAAGGAAATGGGAAATCTGTTCACATGGAGTTTATTATACATGTTCTGAAGTAAATAAAAACATTTTTTAATTAACATTTTTAAACAAAATGGCGGCTACATGATACGAAACTCGAGACCACCTCTTGCCGAAGGGCCGGAAAAGTTTCTCCCACAATTTTCAATCTGGAACAAAAAACCAAAATTTTTTGAAAACTATACATGATTAGCTACAGAAGTACATAGGGGATTTTGAAAATATTGAATTTTGAAAAAATAGTGCTTACCTGAAAAAAAAAAATTTATTTTTCGGTAAAAAAAATTTCACCATCAATTGTTTATAACAAAAAAAGTTGACAAAAAAACCCCTACGTATTTTTTTATTTACTTCAGAATATGTATGATAAACTCCTATAAACAGATTTCCCATTTCCTTTATCGTATCTCCGTAAAAAATTATCAATATGTATATATATATATATATATATAAGAATTACAATATATTAATTTAAACATAATATTTTTTAGCAAATCGAAGGTTGAAAAAATACGCAAAGAAGTTTTACGTGGCTCTACCTCTCGTGTTGCTCGGAAGGAGGATAAAATAAGGAAAACCTAGCAGAGCGTGCTATCTATACCAAGGACATTATTTTTATTGTGGTTGTGCCAACGAGGGCGATAAAGAGGTGTTCGTTGGTTTTTTCCTCCATCGAGATATTTACCAAAGTAATTTAAATAGTCGCGATGTGGGGATGTGGTGAAATACATATAAAGGCAACATCCATCAAGGGCAAATCTTCTACAATCTCGCGAGAGAAAATTGTTGTGCAAAGAGGTGTTTCTGTTCTCTAGACGCGGAATTGAAAACAATTTGGGTGAGTACAATTCCCGTATCACAAAAAAGCGCAAACATAACCGATGCCAAACCGAGTAGGATTTTAATTTAATTAGTCGATTTTTACAATCAGAATATATTTCAATATATACGTAATGGATTTCAGATATATAGATATAAATTTTGAATAAATATTGTCAATTTGGAACGTTAAATAATGCGTCATTTGCCATCTATGGTTGTACTATAAAAAAATTTTATGGAAAAAATTCTTATATACTTCAATGTTAATTAATATTGAATTCAATTCGCGGTGGCCGATTTAGTATTTATATTTATACGTATCGCGTGAATCTCGTTATATTTAGTATCTGCAAGAATTATCTTTAAAAAATACTATCTTCAAAAATATTCTCGAAGTCGAACGCATGCCTAGATAGTCGCATATATTTATGACTATTAAGAGAAACATTTTTTTTAATTGTAACAATTAACAATTTTTATTAATCCAATTATTATCCAATATTTTTGTTATTTATTTTTCAATATTTCAATCTATTCCAATCTTTCAACGCGATTTTTGTTACACGTTTATCGAACACTTGTTTTATAAATTACGTTCGATGTGTGGCATCGTTTAATAAAAAATTTATTTTGCGCAAGAATAAAAATGTAAGTTAATATTTCTTGTTAAAATAAGGAAAGATTCTTTTTGTTAAATATATCTAACTTCATAAATATAAAGTAGCAATAAACAAGGAGCCAAGTATCATAAATCCGAAGATTCATCGATGGCTGTGTTCCAAAATTTACTGCCGGTACTAAAAATCTGTAGTTTACGTTACATGCACTGTAGATTTTGAGTATTGTGTGGCAGTAAATTTTGGAGCGCAGCCATCATTTCAAAACGCGAACGGGGCAACACGAGCGCGGAAAGCGCGTAGAAGGACACGCTTGAATTTGGCGCGGAAGTCCGTCGTCGTTTCCGCTTCCGTGGTGGTGCTCGTCGGCGCCTTCCGGCTCCGGTGGAGCGCGCGTGACTTCGCGCGATTCGCAACCGGAGTAACCGGAGTGACCAGCTGCGCAACTCACTTCAGATGCCTCCAAGCTGTGGTACGGGACGGACGTGCGTGCGTTTGCTGCGCCGAGTCGTGATCGCGCGAGACTCGCGGTACCGTGTTTTTTCCCCTCTTCCCTCTACGTGAAAAGGGCCAGGTACCCGCGGTGAGAGGAGGCTCGCGAAATTTAACGGCTGATCACCGAACAAGCTCGCGCCGAGGGCACTCTCGTCGCCGTCAGTCCCCCGCCGTCGGTTCCCGTTTCTTCTTTTCCATGCGTCGTCCGAGCACGCGGTCGAGTACGCGCCGATCCGAGATGCGCTACCAGGTATTTATGTAGTACCGACCACCGCCGCCTTCGAGCGTCGTACACCCGCCACCCTCGGCTTCCCCCGTCACGTCGGAGGCCGGAGCGGAGGAAACAACCATCCCCCCCCTCCCCCTCTCGGCATCCCCGAGGAAGGCAACGTCGTTGTCGTCGTCGAGCAGCGAGGGTGAGAAGGCGTGAGAGAGGAGCAAGTGGAGCAGGAGCGATTCCGATCGGAAACGGAAGTGGAACCGCTGCGACGGCGATGGATCAGAAACGCGTGTACAAGTTAGTGCTAACCGGAGGTACGTAACAGGGGTACAATCGCGTTTATCCTCCTCCCGCTCCCCTCCCGCGCGTGCAAAGCTGCTCCACCGAGCTGGAGTAGATTAAGCGCGAATTGATTCCCCGTTCTGGACTTTACCAACGAATCTCGCCGATCGGGAAACCGGAGCAGAGCGAGTCTGCGAGAGTAAAAGCATGTGACGCGAAGTGTCTCCCATTGATTTTTTTTTCTTGGAATTTGCATATTTTGTACGCTCCGCGATAGACATAGGGTCTGTTTTTTTATTCCTACATTAGAACCCTTTTTTCTTCTCACTGCAGTCAAATATCGAAAATCTATTTCACCTTAAGTTCTAAAAGTGTATACTAGTTCAGGTATGAAAAAAACAGACACCTAATACGTTGTAGATAGATAGCTAGATAGCTTTTGTCAAGCAATTTTAAAAATATTTTGCGATAAAGTATAATATGAGAGTTATGGAAAACTCGACAACGATACCACATACTTACCTTGGTCTACTTTACCTCAGTTTATTTTAAACGTCCTCAGGTACATAAACTAATACTTGTCTCCACCAATATAGTTTAATTTTAATTTTGGTTTTATTTTCTATCTTTTTCTAGTTATATAAGAATTAGAAAAAAATAGACGAAGTTAATCGAGATCAATTTCTATTGATAGAAAGGAACGTAATGCCGATTCTTATTCGTTTCACATTTCGACTGATTCGTTGATTTTCACACGAAAACTTCCGGCTTTATTATTTTGTAATTCATATTTATCTATCTTATAATTATCGGAATCTAGCATTTCTAATCGTAGATACACGGAAAGAAGCGTTTTACTTACGTCATAATTAAGAATCGTTCTTCCGGGTGAAATCTCGAAGTTTACAAAGTCAGAAGAAACTGGTATTAATCGAGTTGCGACAAAATAAAATAGAATAAAAAATCCGGAAAGAGATACGACCAAAAAAAAAAAAAAATGAGAATCGAGAATTACATAGGTTTATATCGAAGCACGTGTTTGACTTAAAGAACATTCCAGAGCTGTTTTCTCACCGCCAGATTCTTCAGGTAGCCTTCGCTTTCAAACGCGAAGCACTGGCATGTGTC